CTCTGTAAATGTTTATGAACATTAATAAAATATAATTATAGAAAAAAAAACCAAAAAAAACAGATACATGTTGGAGAAAGTGTAACTAGAGAGCTTCTCCTAGGCAAAGATGGTGAAGCTTTGTCTCACATAATTTGGGCATGTTGTTGTTGTTGTGCACCACAGAGTTGGAAATGACCTCTAGCTAAGTGTCCAGCATGTTTTCAGAAGCAGTTTATCGCATGGGAGTAAATTGCCCATCTTTCTACCATGGGACAGCTGGTGGATTTGAACTGCATGCCTTTGTGTTAGTAGTACAATTGTTTACCACTTAACCACTAGAGCTCACTCGGGCATCTTGTTGGGTGGGGCTATTTCTTGGAAAGGGACTTCATGCTTGAAAAGGTAGAGAGTTGGCAAAAGAGAGGAAGATCTTCAACCGGCTGCACTGATACAGTGAATGTAGCAATAGCTGAAGTATGTTAGAGGAGATGAGGCTGGCACAGAATGCTGTTGTTGGATACCATAGAGTCGGAACTAACCCATAGCTGACACTCCAGCGGGTTTTCAGATGCAGTTAATTATATGGGAGGAGATTGCCCATCTCTTCTCCTGCTGAGCAGCTGGTGGCCTAGAACTGTGTACCTTTGGGATTGACAAGAAGTTTCTTGTCACGAGGCCACCAGAGCTCCCAGCACAAGATAGGACAGGACAGGATTCAAAATATTGTTTATAGGGTCACTATGAGTCATACTCAATTTGACCACACCTAGTAACTACTGGTTTAAAAACTGCCAAACACCTTACAATATGTGAAATTTAAAAACTATTTTTTTTACTAAGAAATGCATAGTAAAGTGGACTGAGGACTTGGGTGAGGTGGGGGATTGTATAACAATGAAAGAATTTTTTTTTCTTTTCACGGAGAAAAGCAAACTGGAGGAAGGGGTGGGCAGGGAGAAAACTGAGCAACAATGAATGAATGAGGAAAAAAAGATTAAATGGGGGGGAAAACAAAACAACAAAATCACCACAAAACAAATTTTTTTCTAAGTGCAGAGGCCAGTTATATGATAACACTGCCAATAAATCCGGGTAAGTCACACAATAGAACATTCTAGAGCAGTGAATATGACATTTTTAAACTTTGACTTAATCTGGCAGCATAGCAGATCACTGTCTGGAAGCAGTTTGGGTTTTTTCCTACTCTTCAGTTGTTCCACATATTTTATGCCATCTCTGCTTATTAATAGGAACTCTTAAAACACAGTTGGGCAATGATCGAACATAAAATCTCTATCACATCATCTTTCTAATACAGGCAGTAGCATTAGGTTCAATCTTAGAATCCTACACTCAGATTTTAGATGCCGTAGAAAATGCTCTCAAATGCCAAACACCAAAAAAGAGACACCAGAAGAGAAGCTGAAAATAACACTCACAAAATGAGCATGTACAAATGTTGCTTGTGTGCGATAATACATCATTCTCATTGGACAAGTCAAGCTCTCAAAGATTCTGAAGTAGACATGTATAGATCTCTACCAGTGTTAACAGAGTATTTTCATACTTTAAAAGAAAATTTTGAAAACAAAAGACAAATATTGATTGTCAAATGATTTGCTGAAGCATTAGAAAGAAACAAGTAAATGACAGAGAACTCAAGAAGTATCACTGAGATCCACAGAGCTTTTTCACATAATCACATAACACGTCATTACAGACACACTGACATCTTTCATGAAAAGAAGAATGAAAGTGTATGAAATGCTATCAAAATATATTTTCCTTCTTGAGCATTATGGATACACCTGATGAAGAATGCATGAAGATATCCAAAAAAAGTAATGCAGGCTTATCTCAATGACTTATAAACAAACCTTTATAGACGAGTATGACAATTGCATTCTTTTTTTTTTCTCAGAAAGAAAACTTTTAAAAATTAATTTTTAAGACATTGTTAAATGCAATTTTCCAACTATGCATTCTCAAAGTTACGGCTTATTTGTCTTTCCTTCATCAATATTATACTCAAAATACAGCATAGACATATATACAGTCAATGACATTAAGTCTTCTTGCAATCATACTAAGTCAGAAAGGGGGGAGAACAGACAATAGTGTTGTCTAGTTTTTATTTCATAGTCATAAATTTAACTCTGCAATCCTGCTAACCTTGGAGTGGAATAAAGAAAACACAGAACCCAAAGAACTATAGCAAGAGTGCAAAGATTAAAATGGATTACAAGCACACTGGGGGTCTCAGGGTGATCTCTGGAGCTACAGAAGGAAGGATGTGGTGATTGAGAAAACGTGAAATACAGATCATAGAGTTGTCCACAATCAGCAATGGTGATCTTCTTGTTGGTCTTGCCATTCCTGGACCTGGAGCTCTCCATGGCTTCCACAATGTTCATGCCTTCTTTCACCTTACCCAAGACTACATGCTTGTCATCCAACCATTCAGTCTTGGCAGTACAGATAAAAAACTGGGAACCGTTTGTATCGGGTCCAGCATTTGCCATGGACAGGATGCCTGGACCTGTGTGCTTCAGGATGAAGTTCTCATCATCAAACTTCTCCCCATAGATGGACTTGTCACCAGTACCATTATGGCGTGTGAAGTCTCCACCCTGGCATATAAACCCAGGAATGAATCTGTGGAAGCAGGAACCCTTGTATCCAAATCCTTTCTTCCAAGTACCTAGAGCTCGGAAGTTTTCTGCAGTCTTTGGGAATTTAACTGCAAATAGCTCAAAGGAAATGCAGCCTAAAGGTTCGCCATCAGCAATGATGTCAAAGTATATGGTGGGATTGACCATGGCTGGGGCGAGTGGAGCAGGAAACTGTGCTGCTGAGGTGGCAGCGTCTACAAAGCTGCCACAGTTGCATTTTTACATGGAAGTAAGTCTACAGATTTAAAAAAAATAAACTTTACTAATGTAGGCATGTATTTCTCCATATTAGGGATAAGATACAATGCGTGCTTTCCAGTGTTGAAGGTACTCTGAACCTATTCCTAACTTTAACCATCACAAACTGCACAAAAGAATGTGTGTCTCTTCTCTACAGAAACAAAAAATTCTTAGTAACAACAATGATTCAAGAAAGACTCAGATTGTTAGCCTAATTATCTATAGAAGGAGATATTATTTGGCAGCTTAAATAGAACAAAATCACTGAAGACTTTGTGGGACCAAAGAATAGAAAGAAATATTCTTAATTTTGTTAGGAATGATATATCTAAAACAAAATGATCATAATTTGTTGTAATCTTTATTTTCTGATCATTACATTTTCTTTTATGGTATCTTTTCATTTATAATTACAACATCTGTTATGAAGCAAGGATCCAAGTATGAGTCTTTTAAAGTGAAATCATAAAAGCCAATTTTTAGTTTGTGGAAGATCAATAGGATTCTCCATTGATTGTTGAAGCAATTGAGTCCACAGACTCATGTTCTTTGTTGTAAGGAAGGTTCTTTATTTTTTTAGAAAATGTGACAGTTAGTAAAAATCCTCGTAGTCAGAAACCACTAAAAATCTAATAATCCAATTCCTCTCATCCCAACAAAATGCATATGCTTCTATTAGGTTCAAGTATTATCGTCATGTTTAAAAGGAAGTCATGTTGTGAGAAACCAGGACGCACACACGTGTGCATATATGCTTAACTCACACATTTGGATGCTTGAATAAGAAGAGGAAAGGACATCTCAGAGCATCAGTGTTTAGGGCCACATATACCTTTATCTGGACCCGGCTGCAGTGCACATTACTTGGCTGTTTGGCCTGACTGACTTTGTGGAACCAAATGGTGCGTGGCTTACCAATGATAGCTTGAGTTGCTAAACTAGATTTTATGGCAAGCCTGGTTAAAAGAATACTGTGGAGACTTAAAAAAATTTTATTGTTTTCTAGCCTTGGAGAGAGACATCATGTTTGGGAGAGTGGAGGGACAGCACAGGAGAGGAAGACCCTCAATGAGATGGATCGATTCTGTGATTGGGGATATGGGAGTAGGTGTGTTGCAGACAATATGATTGGCACAGGATAGAGCAGGGTTTAGGGCTGTTGTACATAGGCTCACTATGAGTCTCAAGTGACTCGACCACACATAACAACAACAACAACAACTTGATATTTATTTCATCAGGACATGGATCTATCTCACATTTAATATAAAATTAAATTAAATATATATGACCAAATTTCTTCCCATTTCGTTTTGTGGTGTGTTTCCCTTCCTCCCTCCCCCAGGGAGACTTTTTTTTTTAAAGTACTGTTTTACATACAAAGTTCATAAAATTTGTACACCAGATCTTTCCACTTTCATTTACCCATCCCTCCCTCCACCCATCAAATTATGTGGTACTATGATTAAGTGCCCCCCTTGGATCCTCGTACTCATTCTACAATAATGGTTTTATACAGTATTTGTCCTTGTGGGACTGAGTTAGTTCACTCAGCATAATGTTTTCCAGTCCCTCCCATGTTAGGTAGTCATTTACAAAATCATTGCTCCTGCGTGCTGCATATACATTCACACAATGGAATACTATCCTATGGAGACTTGTAAGGCTTAACATCCATCCATGACACTTCTTGGCTTGCTACTGAACCTTGAAAGAGGTTGAAAGTCTGACTATGGAGCACCAGGAGACAAGGTCATTTTGAACTTGATAGTGTCTGAGTCCATATGCTATAATGTTGGGTGAGGAAACAGCACACTGGAAGGCTGTGTATTTAAGAATAGGCCCACTTTCCAGGCTGGTCTCAGCGCAATGGCCTCTGCAAAGAAGGGTGGTGAGGAGCAGAAAGCCCGTTTCACAATCAACGAGGTGGTGACCAGAGAGCACACCATCTACATTCACAAGCGCATCCATGGAGTGGGATTTGAGAAGCGAGTTCCTCAGGCACTCAAGGAGATCTGGAAATTTGCCATGAAGGAGATGGGAACACCAGATGTTCGCATTGACACCAGACTTAACAAAGCTGTCTGGGCCAAAGGAATAAGGAATGTCCCATACCGCATCCGTGTACGGTTGTCCAGAAAACGTAGTGAGGATGGAGATTCTCCAAACAAGCTGTACACACTGGTTACCTATGTACCTGTCACCACTTTAAAAAAATCTACAGACCGTCAATGTGGATGAAAAAGAATAGCTGGTCGTCAAATAAAGTTATAAAACTGTGAAGAAAAAAAAAATAGGTCCAAGCAGACCTAGCAAACACTATAAATTACTTGTGGATTTTACTCCACTTGCAGTATGTCAACATAAATTACATGGTGACCCCTTCCTCAGTCCTTATCCATGGCCTCATCTGGAGTTCCCTACCCGGCAAACCCTCAACAAGCTGGACTGGCACAGTGACCTTAACAATAGACTTGAACATGACAATGATAGTGAGGATGGCACAAGATAGGACAACTGTTGGTCCATATGGTCACTTTGAACTACTGTAGACTCAGTGGCCTCTAACAACACCATTGCCAGTCCGGCTGGTAGCAACCTCACTAAGTTTCACTGTGAAAGACAACAGAAATGGGAAATCTTCCCTCTAGACAGAACTTCCACACAGCAAATCTCAAGTGTTCATTTTCCCTTGAAGATAGGCTTACAAACAAACAGGTTCATCCTGGAGAGGGTGAGACCAGGCTGCTCCTTGGAGGCAAAGATTCTGAAGCTTCGTCTGACATACTTTAGGCATATTACAAGGCGGGACCAGTCCTGGGAGAGGGATGTCATACTTGGGAGGATGGAGGGACAGCGCAGGAGGGGAAGATCCTCAATGAGATGGATTGATTCAGTCACTGGGGTAATGGGGGTAGGGGTGTCAGAGACAATAAGATTGGCACAGGATAGAGCAGGGTTTACGGCTGTTGTACATAGAGTCACTATGAGTCACAGGCGACTCAATAGCACATAACAACAACAACAACAGGCAAGCATATACAATGGCTCAAGGGCAGTAACTAGGGTTTTTGGGGGAAGAGACATTTGCAATGCCTTCTCGTTCGGAAGTTATGTCTCTTTGGAGGAAGAGGAAGTGAGTGTGAAATGATACATTGAAATGGCCCCAATTACTCAGGTGAATAAGATTGTCCATCCCATAGAGCTTAATCAACGTTGTTCTAAAATCAGACACTGTTTGCTTAGTGGGATCATAAATGAAATAATCAAGGTTGTAGGGATGGAGGCTGTCCATTAACAGTGGACCTCCTCCCACCAAGTCTAAGTTTACCTGTGTTTCCTTCCTCCGTATGTGCAATGAGCTTTAGGAAATTAGGGGCTGATCAAGAAAAGAGACATGACCATGAGATAGCATTGGACAGAAGGCTACTTAATGGGGGGCCTGCTGACAGAGGGTCCCCATTAGTCAGTATTGACTCTGTGGCAGTGGGGACACACTGAGAAAGAATCCTTGGTGGTGCAATGGGTAAGTACTTACCTGCTAACAGAAGTCTGCAGTTTGAACCTACCAGTGGCTCTATGGGAGAAAAGATCCAACAATCGGCTCCCATAGAAATGACACTCTAGAAAACCCTATAGTTGTTGTCAGATGCCATCAAGTTGAGTAAGATTAAAGTGACCTTATGAACAGCATATCTGAACCCTGTCCTATTCTGTGCCATCCTCATCATCTCCAACATACTCCAGGCTACTGCAGCAGTCATTGTGCCAATCCACCTGGTTGATGATATTCCTCTGTTTTGCTGAGCCTCCAATCTTTCCTAGCATGATGTCCCTCTCCAAGGAATAGCCTTTACTAGCAATATTCCCATAGTATGAAACTGTACAGAGCAGTTTTATTCTAGCATGTGTAAGGTCACTGTGAGTTGGCATCAACCCAAGAGTAAACAACAATATGTGCAGGTGAATGCACGTCGGGGCTAGTTCCTGCAACAGGAGATCCTTCACAGGCAGCTGGAACCACCAGAAGAGGCAGAGGGCACGAAACACTCAGCAGAAGAAGAAGAGAAGGGGATCGTGTGTGAACCTTACAGGAGGTTCTCTTGTGGCAAGGTGGGGAGTCTCTGGTTCAGAGAATCCCAGAAGCAGTAGCACCTTTGTTGTTATTATTGTTAGGTGCCATTATGTCAACTTTAACTCATAAACACCCTATGAATACTATTGTTGTTAGGTGTTATCAATTTGAGAACAGCTCATAGTCATGACCAGTAACAGCTCTGAATCCTATCCTGTCTTGTGGCATCCTCACAATCTCTGACACACTCAAGCCTATTGCTGTAGCCACTGGGTCAATCCAATTGGTTGAGAGTCTTCCTTTCCTTCACTGTCCTTCCACCTTTCCAACCATGATGTCCCTCTCAAATGAATAACCTCTCCTAGCAACTTGCACAAAGTATGTGAGACAAATAGATCCAACTAAAATGAAATCATTGACAACATCATTTTTCTTCTGAAATCATAGACATCGTCAGTTTTTTAATTATTAAATTTTATTAGTTTTAATGGACATTTACAGAGATTTTGGGTTTTTATTCATTCATTGTTGCACTGTTTTCTCCACCCTCATCCCCAGTTCGTTCTTCTTCCAAACCCCAATGTCTGTTTTAATTGTCCAATTGCCACAGTGCTTGTCAAAGCCAGTTCTGATTAATCTCCTTTGTCAGTGTGTCCCTTGCCATTCCCTATCA